CAAACGAATAGAAAATTTAAAAATTTTTCGTGTGGAAAATTATACCAATCAAACACACTTGAAATCATTTTCCCTGCAAAATATTTTCTAAGCAAATCTTTTCCCTGTAAAACATTTTCTTTCCACCCATTTTCCACCCTTATAATCAAACGCACCCTTAAAGATTTAATGCTTGGGAGAGAGACGGTTTGAACTGAAATTATAAATCCCATATGCTGATTTTACTAGATAATCGAAGTTAAAAGAAGAACTAGCTATCTTCTTTATGTAGGTTTCCAGTTTTAAGTTTAACTACAAGATGATTGCAACTTCAGAATAACTTGAATGGGGGTTTATGATTTTTTGGTTCATTAAATCTGGATTCTTCAACTTAAAAGTTTATGCATACCACCCTGGAAAGGGAAATGAGGCACTATGTTATGTAATTATGTTGATGGCATTATAAGGTTTTGTTCTATGATATGTTTCCCAAGTAGAATTCTGCTAATAGCTTTGTATTCTCCTATCTTTATGTTTTGTTTTTGTTTTTTAAGTTGAAATTTCATTTATGAGATTTTAATCTGAAGCATCACTATTCTAATCCTGAAAACGAGGTTCAGTCCAGAAATATCTATCGTATTTACCTGCCAACCTATTAATTTCCAGTTCCTACAAGTATATGTGGCTGAAGAACCTGAAAACAACACGTGGCCTCTAAGGTAGTTTCTTAGGATGGTTATTCTAGATTTTTTTTTTCCTTTGATGCGATTTATGTTTCTGAATGCATTGTTCTCATATGGTTCCTGTTCACTGTCTTTTTGTTTTACCATATTTGGAATTGAAACTACATAAAACTGAGAAAATGATCAATCCTATTTTCGCTTCAAAATATGTTTCATTATCCATTTTGCTTGTGGGTGTTGCAGGCTAGACAGGTTCATCCAGATAAAAACCCAAACGATCCTTTGGCAGCACAAAATTTTCAGGTGAGACTTCCTCCAGATATCATTAGGAAGCTTCCTAGTTTTTGCCACACGGTGGCATGTTGTTTTATGTGCTTCTGTCACAACTTGGATGAAGAAAGTAGTTAAAAGTATATTTTGTTTATGGCTTTTGTTTTGGATGCAGCCTAATTTTATCACTTTATTGCTGTCCCCTAGTTGACATTGTGTATTCTACTAGTCACATGTTATTGTGGCGCTCTTTTTGTGTTCTCTTTTGTCTTTTGTTTAACTTATTATGTGTAAGTCTAGGACTGAGATTTGCTCTTAGGATATGAATATGTACGAAGACCTTATAGCTTCAAGAGAGTCGAAGAAGTTCAGTTCAGCATTATTTCATTTTTTTTCTTTACTTTGGGTTGAATAATGATGGTGGTTCATAGCAGAACATAGCCTTGATTTTTTGCATACTCATTTATCGTTTTCATTTCATATATCCACTGTTAACCTGGTAGAGATTTCGCCCTTGACGAAGAGCAAGGCCTTGAAATACACGAATTTAGAAGGCAAGTTGAAACATCGACCTACTGCCTTAATCAACTGGAAACTCCAATCGGGGGATGCTGATTGTTGGTCTCACTAGTGCCATATGGAGGGAAGGACCAAATGTGGTTTCAATAAAGGATGTCAGGAGGAGTTTCTTGATTGATTTGTTGCTGTAATTTTTCAATTTTAAAGAAGGGTCAATAAAAAGTGTAGTAGATGGAGGACGTGCGTCTGCATGGTGTGGTCAGCTCAATTCAATTTGTTGAAGGAGGGGAGAATAAAAATCATTAATTGAGAAGATTAAAAAGAAGCTCGAGAGAAATTTTCTGACTGCAACATCTGCATCAAGCATCAAGGCAGCCAATCAACTAATGGATAGACAGATGAGTTTTATCGGTTGATAGCCTGGAAAGATATCTTGGAGATGAAGGAAGTATTGATGCAGTGTATTGGTGGTTTAGGCAGCACGTTCAAGATGCACTCTTCTTACACACTCTCTTAACTGTTTCTGAGGCATTCAAGCATGCATGGTTGTGAAAAAAACAGCAAAATGGAGCTAACAACAGTGATGGAAATTCCCATGAGTCCGCTGACAAACCTGGTGCTAATGAATTAGCAAGGTCTTGATAGTACAAACAACCTTGAGACAACAAGGGAGGTACCGAAGGAATTTTACAGCTCCTAAAATGAGTTCAAATAATCACATACTAAATCCTGGAAGTCAATTTAGTGGATCAAAAGGCCAACTTTATGAGTGGGAAACTTTTATTATGTAGCGATTTAGTGTGGAAAGAAAAATAACGGAGAGAAAACTCTACTACGGGGAACAATGAACTAGAAGAGGGATCTATTGGTGAAACCAATTTCTCTCTTCTTCATTGAAATAAAACAATAAATATATGCATACAGAATTGTTGCCTAATAAGGCTGTAATTCTACATCTATCTCTAGCTCCTATATTACAACTCTCCTATAATGAATAATAGTTGACTAATCTAACATCTGATTACAAGAACATACATATACATGGTAACAAAAGAACAATCAATCAAATTCCTAGAACTAAGGGATTAGGTCGATCTCCACTCTCCCTTGAGGCAGTTCAAAAATTCGTGCATCCCAGCATGTTTCCCATAGACTTGAAACTTGTTCATGCATCTTTGTTAGTGCACAAATCTTCTAATTGAAGTCGAGAGGAATGCAAGGAGTGAATGTGATTCCAGCCTTGATCTTTTCTTTAATTGTCTATCTTGTGAGCAATGTTGATTATAACTTTGTTTTCACATAATAGGTTCATAGGTTCTTGAATCTTCACCTGTAGATCTTTGAGAGTTTTATCTGACATAAGTTCATTAATTCCTAATGCTGTTTTATGAAAGGATTATCAGCCTTAGCACTGGATCTGGAACCTGCTTGTTCTTTTTAACTAATACTAGTTACCAAGTTACCTCCAAAAAGACGCAGTAACCTATAGTTGACCTATCAGTCCGTGATCTATCGCTTCATGCATCTGTATAGTGATAAGCCTCTCGGTCCTTTTATTACCGATGCCAATATGCTGGAAGCAGCAGTGCAAATTGCTGGACCAGTGCAATTTGTTGAAGGGGGGTAGGTCTGATACACGAGTAGGGGCTGGGGAATTATTCACATGATAGTCCAGTAGTTTGTTTGTTTTTTGGGGGAAAGGGATGGGAACATTCTGGAACAAATTGAGTTCTAATAGGGGGTGGGTCATTCTATCATTCATTCATAAATTAATAGTGGGATAGGGAGAGGGGCTAATTCTCTTAGAATGCCTAGATTTCATTTTAATTTCTTGGTTATTTCCGTTCAATACAAATTTACAATGACAATAATAAATACGAGTTCTATTGATAACTACAAATTATAGTAAGGGGAAAACGAAAGTGCACTCTTGCTAATTCAATCTGATTCTTGTGTATTCAATTGCAATTCAGTCCAGTTACAACCAAAGATAAAAGATCCTATCATATAGCTGTCATCACATTAATGGTTATTCTTTGATAACATAAGTCTTTTCCCTGGAGTAGCTTTTAGATCCCTTAGGATCCTTATCACAAAATTCATAAAATATGCAATGTCTGTCCGAGTATGAGATAGAGAAATCAACCTTACCATTAGTCTTGAATCCCTTTGTCTACTGGAATACAATCTTCCTTTGCTTTTGACTTTTGACATGGATCAGCTGGAGCACCCACAGATTTGCATCCCAATAAATGTTCTTTCCGAGGTTGCTTCCCTGCAAAGTCCTACGGTCCTTTAGACTTGGTACCTATGCCATATTAGTGGAAATTTAGTAAACAATCTGACATCTTTGTTGAGTTTATCAAGGCTGTCTGGGAGCAAGCTCGACATTGTATTTGGGCAAGCAAAACAAAGTATAAGCAAGCTTTTGATGGGAGGCAATGTGTTGTGCTTGAAATTTATGTATGTGCTATATTAACTAGAGCATCATCTGGCCAGGAAGTGCAACATTTCTTATTGCACTTGAGATTGGACCTTGTAAGATTATTGAAAGCAGATCCATGATAATGCTTTCAACTCAATCATCTTGTTCCTTAACTTGGTATTGTTTCAGAAGTTGGTGATGAAAACATGAGAGTTATGGGAAGAATTTATAAATTGTTTAATTTATAAATAGATAGAAATGAATGGTGGATAAGTGGATGGTACTTGTAAGTCCATTGGAATGTTTGGTTGAAAATGAACTTTGACCATTTATAAATTTTGCAGAACAGAGGATTATTCTTATTAGAGTTCAAGCAAAGTAGAACTTTACGAGATCCGAAGACTTAGAACTTGAGAAAGTTTAATTTGTTGTTATCTTCTATTCTTTCTTTATTTGAGAATTAAATTGCTGTTTGGCTAATGGCATAAACCTTGACTTAGCACTTACTTTGTTTTTTCTCTACGTTCATGTATTGCTTGCTGTATTGTTTTTATTTCAAACAATGGAGCTGGACTTTGTCTGTTAAACTGTCATTCAACTGGTGATTTTGTACCTGCGAGGGCAGTTCCGAAAAACTTATATGTACAATGATTGAACCTTGCTAAAGACTAGCAATGAACTATTGTTATTCATGGTTAATGTGTGAGTATGGTCTTGATGTTTCAGTTTCTAATCTTCCCCTTGATTTCAGATTTTAGGTGAGGCTTACCAAGTGCTGAGTGATCCATCCCAAAGGCAAGCTTATGATGCCCATGGGAAGTCGGGAATTTCAACGTCAGTCTATTTTTAAATTTACGAACTTTCTTAGCTTATGCATTGTCAAGAGCTTCTGATATACTGATGTAATTTTTAACATCTATGCTCTGACGATTATTTTCTTGCCTTGAAACCATTTCAGGGAAGCAATTATTGATCCTGCAGCAATTTTTGCAATGCTCTTTGGAAGTGAACTTTTTGAGGAATACATTGGCCAGCTTGCCATGGCATCAATGGCTTCTTTGGATATTTTTACAGAAGGAGAAGAGTTTGATACTAAAAAGTTGCAAGAGAAAATGAGGGTAAAATTTTGAATATTCCGCGTTGAGCGTTTAGACCTTTTCATTCACGTGTGGCTCCGTAAGGGTTTCTCTTATCAAGGTTAACTGGGATACAAGGTTACAGTGAAGGGATGGGGAGTTCAAAAATGCCTTGTGCTTATCTTTGCTGCTCTCAAAATTCCACTGTCTACTAAAGAACTTGATAACTTATACCAGATTTAAGATCCATTCTTCTTATTTCTATCTTCTTCTCTGATTCTCTTTTGTAGATCTTATTTGAAAATAAGTGCTGTAGGACAATGCAAGCAGTGTCAGATCCAACTTAATTTTCCTATTTTGCTAGTGTGGGATTCTGTTATTATTGGTTTTATATTTTTCTGATAGGATTTAGTTCTGGATAATAGGTTGTAGTAGGTGATTGTTTTCTTTCCTATTAGGCAGTGATTAGTAGGTTTTTTGTAGTCTATTAAGAGATTACTTTTCTTATTTTAATCCCTATACTAGAATAGGAATAGACATGTTTTGTAAAATTCTTTTGACTAGGGAATGTCTTCTAATTATTGACTGAAAGAAAAGATAACATTCTGGTGTAGAGAAAATATTTCTCAAGTTAATAGCAGGATGAAATTTTAACGTAGTGATTAAAATGTCAACGTGATCCTCAAAAAGGAAGGGATAAATTATTTATTGGTATCTGCAACTCTTGAATGGAAATTTATTATTATATCCGTGTTTATTTACTGAGGGCTTTTTCCTTGTAAGTTTAGACTGTTCAAAAGGAAAGGGAAGAGAAGCTTGCTACTATACTTAAAGATCGGTTAAACCTGTATGTCCAAGGGCATAAAGACGAATTTATTCGTAATGCCGAAGCCGAAGTATCGAAGCTCTCCAGTGCTGGTAACATATCATTTTTTGCATTTTCCATTCCAGTAAATACTTCGTGTTTCCTTGCCTTTTCTATTGATGTCATGTAAAGACTTTTAATGCTGGAACTGTATGGAGTTACTGCCTGCATTTTTTTCCCTTTCATCTCTTTGCAGCTTTCTTACAGTCTCCTAACTTTGTGTATGAAGAGAAAAGTTGTCTATATTGCCAAATGCCTGATAGCTTCAAATATAAATAATAATAAACTATTTGACTTCATTATACAAAATTGACAGAAATTCAGCCCTAATTTTATGTGATTGAAATGCTCGACTTAAAGCCTAAGTCTTCCAACTAGGCTAGCTGATCTCAAACAATCCTAAAGCTGATGGGCATTGATCTTATTTTTATTTTACTATCAACTAGATAACTGATTCAGTGGGAATGTACCAGAGGAATTAAATTTTTATATTACTAGCCGTCAAGTCAATTCACAAAGGAAAAGTATTAGTGTAAATGTAATGCAATTGTATAAACTGAGGTTCTCCATGTTAGATGAGAAGTACACTGGGATGCTATATCTACTAGTCATTTTAATGCAAGCCCACTTTTTTTGAGATTTTTAAGTAGCCTAGTAGAATGTTAGCTAAGAGCGTTGCTTTATTACTTAGCTTTCTAGAAGTTTCTCATGTGTCCTTGTAGAATTTGGAAAAACCAGCAACCTACAAATAAGTATGTATTCTCTCAATTAAAATAGAAGAGTTGGTCATTATGAGAGCTTGATAATAATGTTGTGTGAATTTGTCAAATCCTTCAAGGCTTAATTGCTCCCCTCGTCATTGTTTTTTTTATTCTACTTCTTCTGCAGTTCCTCATTTTTCTATAATTTCAATGGCCTATTCTTTATATCATAAATTCTGCAACATGAGCAATGAACAATCAATGTGGTTCCTGTGGGGTTATGGATTAATCACTAATCCTACATTACCGAGATTGATAATAACACAAATAGAAAACAAAAGGAAAAAATAACACGTTAAAGTGGTGCATGCTTAATGCGAGATGTACATCCACTCAATGCTGCTGGAGAATTGCACTATTGAAGAAGAGGATTACACTGTGTTTCTGGACTATGGACTGCTCCTCTCTCTATTTTCTCTCTACTGCAAAAAGAGGCACAGCCTAATACCCTTTATATGGAGGAAAAAATGGGGCAACCTAATATATATGCAAATTTCTCAAAATACCATATGACACTTAAAAATTTTTGCCGGAAATCCAGCATTATATACAAGAGGAAAAAAGTGTACAGTTTATTAGGCTCCACGCATCCAACTGTGTCTACGTGACGACATCTCTGACATTCATAGAGGATTCTTTTATTTATTGGGTTTGGTACAAGGCCTGATATTTCGAAGCTACAAAAATTTATAAGCGGTTGGTGTTGAAGAGTCAAAAGTAGAGATTTTTCAGGCATAGGAAAAATCATAGAATTGCACAAAAAGCAAGTATTGAGATTACTAAAAATGTTGTTGGAGATATAAACTAGAAGAGCAGAATGATGAAAGCATGGAATACTTCATGCAGGGACATGAGACTGAAATTTGTTTTGAGCAATTTAAAGATGTCGCTCATTTAAAAGGCTTTAAGGTAATTGATTTCATTATTCCTAACCTATTTGAAATTGTGGGAGATATAGTTCCTTTACTAGTATGTGAAATTGGCTTGATAGCATCTTCGTTGAAGTTTATGCTAAAATATAGTCGTGGTTTCATACTAGTTAAGCTGCTGGAATTTTTTTAACCTTGACATAATATATTTTAGAATCAAGTGTTCTTTTGTTTTTCAAATAATGCCTAGATAAGGATACTTTCCACAGTCCACTGGGTCTTAACTTAGTTATTGGATATCATCCTACTTTTATCAGGAATTCCACCGTAATCTAGAAAAATCTTAGTTAATAGTGCTTAAAATTTTAATTTCATCTCTGATCTCCCTAATCGAATTAGAAATCCAGAAGCCAATAGGTATTCACTTAAAGAATAGAGATGATCATAATGATAATTTGATGATATGTTGCTTTAGTTTTCCTAATCATCGCTAGGGTGAAGCACTCTTCTTCTCCTTCCTATTGTCCTACAATTTCCATTCCTCTGATCCTTTTCACAAAAATAATGCATTGCAAAGCCCACTGCGTCCCTAACGTATATAAATCAGTCTCTACTGCTTAAATAATGTTCATAGATCATTTTTATCATCTCACAACAGGCCAGAATTTGGTCTCCAAACCCTGTCGTATAATTTCATATCCTACCCGTTTCCATGCTATCCATATTAGATCCCATTACAATATTCGCCATAGGAGGCTATACGAGAGTTGAAGAAATCCCAGTAGTCTTTATGAGATTTCTTAAAAGCTTTCTTGTGTGAATATGAGCATTGGCTGCCTCTTGGAAATTCACTTTAGAATGGATGCTTAGCACAATGATCTGGAAAGAGAAACACCAATGGATTTCTATTGTAGGATATATAATGTTCATACGGTAGAAATTCACCATGATTTTAAAGTTTGAACAGTAAACAACACTCTTATTGACCTGTTTCACAAATGCTTCTATATCAAGCACCACAAGAAGAGATGAGTTTACGACATGCAATTCAATATGCTAGAGAATATGGCATGCTTGCAAAGACGTTTTCGAAGATGATTAAATGTATGATTCAAAAAGTTGTGAGTGGAATGAAGTCCCTCTAACTTGATGGTTTCAGTGTGCCATGTTGTTCCGGTGAGAAACCCATGCAACATTTACTGTTAATAAGTTATTTCCTAATAACAATGATGCTATGTCTTATAAGCCGTGTTACCTCGTCAAAAGCAGTGATACATTTTTAAGCGTGTTACAGGTAGACACATTCTATAAGTGACTTCTGTACAATTTTTATTAATTATCTCTCTCTCTCTCTCTCTCTCTCTCCCCCGCCCGGAACAGGTCACATTCATTTTTCTTCAATATACTGCCTTTTTTATCATCATTTTACTGCAATTGGAGAAAGTCTTTGCCTCATCAACTTAATGTTCTGTTACAGCTTATGGTGTTGATATGCTGAATACCATTGGCTATATATATGCAAGGCGGGCAGCAAAAGAGCTTGGAAAGAAGGTGATGTATCTGGGGGTGCCATTTGTTGCTGAGTGGTTCAGGAACAAAGGACACTCTATCAAATCCCAAGTAACTGCTGCAACAGGTTGGTTGTCATGTGCTGTTTTAACAAGGAGTTGATTTTGATTGGTTTCTATATTTTTACTTGGATCAAATATTTTGCCTTGTTTAGTTGACCTGTATCTAATTCAAAGTCAAGTGCCTGAAAGTGGCACTATGGCGATGATATCTAGGTTCTCCTTGGTTTTGGATGTTTGAAATGAATTGCAACTGTGTTCCTTGTTCTTATTGATTTTACCAATAAAACAAGACCCAAGATAGAGAAACTAGGAATCAGAGGACAGCGTACAAACCTGCAAATGTCATGTCACGAATTTATGTACAGCAAACAACTCAGTTTTGTCATACTACTAAATCCAAACGCTAATGAACAACTAAAACAGTACATTATTTTGGAAGTCCCCATTCTTTAAACTTACTGAATCTAGCTGCAGGCTTGAAAATTTTCATATTCACCCAATTGAGTTTTTAAGATGTAGAAGTGAGAAAAATTTAGGTAGATGAAGACGCTTGGCTTTAGCATGGAACATTTGGCGATAGACAACTATTAGAATTTTCAACTTGTTATTGGACTAATTTTGGATTCCAATTTTCTATTTTCAACATGATTTGCATGCAATTCTTACATCAAGTGGATATTATCATTTTATTCTAAGTTTCTTTTTGTTGCTGGGAAAAAATGTGGGTTAAAGTGAAAAATGGAAAATGGAAGTTGCAGACATACAAGTTAATTAGGTTCAATTAAACTAACTTGATGCTCATTTTTAGAAATGTAATAAAATAGAATTTTGTATGTTACTTGTGTATTTACGAGTATAAGCCCCTCTATTTATAGAGTAACTAAATTAAAAAGCTAAAAGGAAACAAAATTCTAGTAAGTAACAAAATATCAAAACAAATATTTTAAGTCAAACTCTACTTTTAAAATCATATCTAAATTCTATTTCAATCTTTATTCTTATCATGATCTCCATCAATGTGGTATAAGATAAACTACAATTTCGACATAATTTTAATGATAAATGTTAATTAAAGCTGAAGAATTTCTACATTCCTTTTGTTTTTAAGATGCGAAGGGATAATGTTTCTTTCTCTTTCTTCTATTTCTTTTGTTTGATTGGGGGTGAGATCTGCAATAATATAGCTGGAAAGAACCTGGTCTGACCCTTGCTCATGCCAATATAGCTCAGGACTAACTAGCCCTAAATGCTTGTGCCCATATTGATGGATAAAGGTTATCTATGTTTTGGGACAGCCAATTGCACCATCATTCCAAAACTCAGGTGTGAGAGTGTTCAGTAAAATCTCGCAAGCATACTAGATCATTAACAAGTAATAGATAAAGTAAGTTTAGAGTTATCATTCCACGAGGAATAATGTTTAATTTTGGCCTATGAATTATTATCGAGTTCGATAAAGAGTAACATCAAAGGAGATTTGTTGTGATTTTCTAATCTAATTTTAACTACGAAAGCAATTAAGAGTGATTTTTAGCAAATATGTGGTGAATGTATTGGATTTCTGAATCCCCTATTAGTGTTAATTCCAATTCTCGACCCATATTATTTTCCTAATGTTAATGACAATCAATAATCCAATTTTATTAAATATCTTTTTCCAAGAAATATCGAACCTATGCTTAACACGACCCAGTTCTATTCCTAGTTCAAATTCATATAAAAAATATGCATTTAATAACAAGATTATTTCACTCGCTTGAACATGTCATACATATTATTCTTAATATCTATTGCCCGTGTGTTAAATATGTGTTTTACCTATTGTGAATCTCTTAGCACTACGAATAGGCAACAAGTTATTTAAATGGTGATCAAGTATTCAAACAACACAATGTAGATGCATAAATAATAAAAAAAACTAAAGAAGTTACTAAATTAGCGAGTCTTGAATTAAAAACAACTAATATGGTTTATCATCCATCCAATACAATGAAAAATTTAGCCTAACATTCTTATAATTATAATTAAATTATACATTAATAATTGGAAAAACATCCCCGAAAATAAGAAAGATGGAAGTAGGAGCAATTCATGTTCTTGGCTCAAATTTTAAAATCGGGCTATGAATCTTCAAAATTCTTGTATGATTCGTCTTGATTTGATGTATAAACTTGTTCTTCACCTCCAAAATATGTAGAATATATGTAGAATTAGGTTGAATGGAGGTTAGGGACGTTTTGGTCGAATTTTGGAATATATAGAATGCAAAAAGATTGTATTCTAAAAGATACCAAAATAAGAAAAAGAAAAAAAGATTTGTTTTTTCGTTTTACCTTGGGGTGCATGCCTCAGGTGATTTTAGAGTTGCAGGAGGTCTCAGAAGAAGAGGCGCGTACCTCCTCTGCAGGCCTAGGCGGGCACCTAGACTTGTTCTGAGTAGTTTTCAGTATTTTTGTCATAACTTTATTTCTCAATATCCAATTGAGGCGATTCAAATTGCGTTATAAAGATAACTCAAATGGCTACAATTCTTCTAGTAATATTATATTTCCAATTCGAATGTTTGCTATGCCAAAAATAGGTCTCAATATGAGGTCGAGAACACAACTTTTTCGTCTGGAACTTGATGTGTGATAATACTTTAAGGGTGTGTTTGATTGCAAGGGTGGAAAATGGGTGGAAAAAAAATGTTTTACAGGGAAAAGATTTGCCTAGAAAATGTTTTGTAGGGAAAATGATTTCAAGTGTGTTTGATTGGTATAATTTTCCACCCGAAAAATTTTTAAATTTTCTATTCGTTTGGCTTTATTTTACATGGAAAATGTC